GGGTGATACGTACTGAAGCAAATTTAACAACATCTAAAACTTCAAATTAAATTGAATCAGCGACGTCCCGTTTTATTCGGTAAAAGTACATGACCAACTGAGCCAAGAGTTCACCCAAGAGAAGGAAAATTTTCTTCACTCTTCTATGGTACTTGGCTCTATGAATTCGTTTTACGAGTAGCGACTATATGTCATCCATTTTTTCTCAAATTCACAGAACATTATGAAATGAAATTAATTTAAAATGTAAAGATAAAATTCTAAATAATAAAAACAAATAATATAAACTTCTAAGCTAATAAATATTAACTGTAAATTCTAATGAGTAATGTTGGCCTTGTAGATTTGTAGATTTGTAGATCTACAATCTACAAAATCAAAAAAATCTAAAATGTTGACCTCACATCAAAATATTAATTTTATCATATAGTATTACTAATTACATACATGTACACATATATATAGTAAATTATCTACAATTTCCCAATAATATATAAAAAGATCATATAATTGAAAATTTTTTTCATCACTTACACACCATTTCCCAAAATTTCTTCACTCCCCTACAATTTTAATCCTGGCATAGAACGAAAATAAATTATATACTTCCTAACTCATCTCTATAGGGAAATATGAACCTTAAAAATCAAATTCCCTACATTATTAAATTTCATTACATACGAAAATATTATGTACTCGATATTATACATATATATTAGATTTTTCCTAACAAAATAAATAAATGTATGTTTGTATAAAAATTTCATTTTGAAAATATTTTCAACTTAAATTTCAGACGGCGTGTTAAAAACCAAAGAAGAAAAAAGCACAAAAAAAAAGTACAAAAATTCCTAAGGGATTAATTACCCTTACAAGATCAGTGACATAAATAAATGATTTTCTCTGCACTTATTTTTTTTTTTTTTTTTTTCAAATTGAAGAATCATATTTCATTTTTTTTTTCGTTACTTATTTGAACTTTCATACAAACAATGTATAAAATAAAAAGAAAGAGAAAAAATCAATTTTCAGCTTCATTTAAATTGAGTGAAAAGAAAAAAATTTTAAGTTTTTAGATTGCATTATTTTGGTGTTAAATTTCTTATTACTTATATATAAAAAAATATAACACTTTTGATATAATTTTACTTGCAGTGTAAAATATAGTTTGCATATAAGCTATTTTTGTATAGCTCATATTTTAATATAACAATAAAGATTACGTAAAAAATTGCATATGTAAATGTATAACACATTTAAATTTCCTTAACACTTATATATCTGTTACTGTGTTGCACATGTGAAATATTAAAAGTATAAAGAAATTTTTGAACAAATTAGTATGTCAATAAGTGCAAGTATATAAGAGTATTGATTAAAAAAAAATTTTATATAAATAAAAATTCCAATGTTATATGCATTTACTCATTTAGAATGAAAAAAGAATACAAAAAACATACTGTGTTCCTATTAAAAATTATAAAAGAATGTTAAAAATATTACCGTAATATTTATTGCTTACTCTTAATTAATGAGTACAGAGCATATGAGTATCCATCTGTAGTTTCAAATGAAAAATAATGTTAAAATTAAATTTGAGAGAAATTATTAGAAAGGTATTAAAAAGTGAGTAAATGGTGTTATGTTAAATTTCTATTTGTTTTATGATAATAATGTGAACTATTCCTTTTATGCTCTTCCATAGTTTTGAATATTATATAAGTTATGCCTTTTTACTATTAGGTCTAATTCTAATTTAAGAAAAGTTTATAATTTTATACTGATTCATTTTGTTATACTGAACCATATTTTATGTAAGCCCACCGTATTAATAATGCATTCAACTGATAAAACGGGTGATAGATGTATTTTTCATAGTAATAACTAAAAACTAAGAGAACTACTAATGAGTGTCCTAATCAATATTTTAAGCAAATCTCTTTTTACAAAAACAACTTAACTCCATTATTAATAAATTGAATAAAACTACATGAATTCGAACACATATTATTTTTATCGTAATTCTAAATAGAGTATAACAAATAATTAATAAACTTTATTTAACAAATAGTTTTCAAACATTTTTGTTGAAATTTAAAAAAAAAAAGGACAATAAAATAATTTAAGAAATGCATGCATAATTTCAACTCCTCATAATCTTTAAAAAAAAAATTGCCTCACGCGATTTTATTTTTGAAATATTTTCCTTACAAAAACATTTTACTCTCTCATATAATCTGTTATACTTCACACAAATCGCATTTAATTATACATAATGCATATTGCAATCCAAAAAGAAAAATAGTTTATTATTATACTGGCAGAAAAACACTTTAAAATTAAAATTTATATATTTAAGACAGACAGTTAAAAGACATTTATTGAAAAAATTACAAATTTATTGAAATTTCAGCAACAACAAGAACTAATAAGCATAATAAATTGAATGATAAAAGAAAGCAATATGCTTATATGTAAAAGATATACAAAACACTTATAAAGACAAAAAAAAATTAACAACAACGTCAATAACAAAGAAGTAAAGAGAAAACAAAGAGACTTGCACGGAAAAAAAATAAAAAATAAAAAATTAAACAAATAAAAAAAAATTTCTGTTTTTCCCTTTTTTTTTGTGATGATGATTGCAATTATTATTGCACATGGAAAATATTAAAAACAATGAAATGAAAAATGGAATTTAATAAAAATCCAAATGTAAAAACTTTCGATTATTTAAAATCGAATAAATTTTATGAAAAATCTCAAAATCACTACATTAAAGTGAAAAAAATTCAAAACAAAAAAATTGCTTAAGATAATGAAAATTTTTACTCATTTCTCTTTCATTTCTCATATAAAAATTTATTTTTCATTCATTTTAAAAGTATACAAAACTTTAAATTTAAAATAATTGTTTGCGATTTTAGATTTTAGATTGCAAATATTTTTAGATTATTTAGATTGACGTAAAGTAATTAAATCAAAGATTTGAAAAATATACGAAAAAAAAATTATTTTTTCTTAATAAAATTTAATGAATCCAAAAACCCCAATTCCTAAAAATAATTTATAAAATTTTGTTTTTTGCTTACATTACCATACTTTTGTTTATTTACTTTATCTGCTTATATATAATATTTAGTTTATAAAACGAGTAAGCACACTAAATTAGAACAAAAACAGAGCAAAATAAAGAATAAAGAATTAAAAAATAATTTCGTGTTTGTTTTGCTCAATTACCTACTCCAAAAAAAAATATAAAAAAATAAATTTTGATTATAACTTCTAGTAAAGTGGAAATATGTTCTTAAAAAAGAAAATTCAAAAAGAAAACCTCATTTTAAACAAATTTGTTGAAAAATTGAAAAGTAGAAACATACCAAATATACTTTTATATACCTAGGGTTAATATAAATTAAAAATGCATAACAACAATAGTGGCCTAAAGCAGATTCTTTTTAAATTGTTTAAAAAGAAATCAATTTTCTTTTGGTAAATAAATAAAAATGTTCATACAACATGTTTGAAATAATTTATTCAAATTATAAAAAAAAATTTTTAATTTTTTTGATCGATCTAAAAAATATTTGCAATTTTTTTCATTGATCATACATAATGTTTGAAATTCTTTATACCGATCACACAAAATGTATGAAATTCTTTATACCGATCATACAAAGTGTTTGATATCTTTCATATTGATCATACAAAATGTTTGAAATCTTTCATATCAATCATACAAAATGTTTGAAATTCTTTATACCGATCATGCAAAATGTTTGAAATTCTTTATACCGATCATGCAAAATGTTTGATATCATTCATATTGAACATACAATTATGTTTGAAACTCTTTATGCCAATCAGAGAGAATATTGTATACTTTCAATATTTATCATACAAGACGTATGTATGATGTATGTCTTAATCATACAAAATGTTTAATATTGTATGTTCGTACTTAACATTGTTTTTTGAAAGTAATAATGTAAAAAACATTAATTTCAGTAATTTAATAAAATAATAGCATTTTGATTGTAGAAATTCGAATTATAAAATTTTTGTTTAATATTTCAATTTTTATAAAATTTAATTCAAATTTCAATATACTACTTATTTATATTAAATTTTATTAAGGAAAATTAAAAACTTCCCTTTTTTGGAATTATGTAATCATCGTTCTCTGCTATATCCAAAACGAAAATAATTTAAATGCACCTCACATTCTATAGACTAATTAACAATTAAAGTACAAAATTGCAAACATATATTTTAATAAATTTATAATTGAGATTTAAAAAACAACCTGGTCATTATAATAATCTAAGTATAACCAGACCTAATATAAACATGATATAATAATAATTCTTTGATTATTATAAAAAAAAACCGTAAAGAGAAATTTCTTGTAATACTCATAAATCTTAATATTTTTTACACCCGTATATACTTTTATATTTTCTATACAAACACAATTTAAATGACAAATTAATTAAAATCATACCTCATCATAATGTATAATAATCAAAGGTAATGAAAATAATTTAAAAAATAATAAAGAAAAAAAAAAACAATTTTTCAAGTACTATACATCATATTACTTAAATCAGAGTGTAGAGGTCACGTGTTCAAATATCACTTAACTATTTATATAAGAAAATATTTTTATATAAGTATATATGTATATATACACACCCTATTCTTAACCCCAATTCAAATCTCTAATATAATCTTGATTCTTCATAAATCTCATAAAAAAATTTTCTTTTTACTTAAACCACTTTTCAAAAATTAAACAATAACAAAAATAATAAAAACAAAAAAAAAAAATATAAATGTCTTCTTTCTTAAAAGAAAATTTATGACTACAACAAATTACTACAATTTGTCAAAACAATAAAAATATTATGAAAAAAAAATAAAAATAAAAACTGTTATTTAACAAAGTAAAAAAAAAAAATATTTTCTTTAATAATTTTCTTTAATAAAATTCTACTTACACTTTCTGAATTAGCAATCTGAAATAAAGAAAAAAAAAATATATTAGAATTACTTTTATACTTAGATGAGCTTAAAAAATTATTTTCATCAATTTATATTTGAAAAAATTACATAATTAATAAGCAACAAGTGGAATTTTAATTTTTGAGAAACAAAGACAATTTAAACACTCTCAAATTATTTGATTTAACAGAATAACCACCACCTTCTCTTTTCCCCCTCTCACTCTAAGCCAATTATATATATATTTAATCTCTAAATGAAACTAACGAGTAAATTATTCATTTAATAATAAAAATTGAGAAATATATTAGGGAAAGAGAGTGAGAATGAATTTTATATCGTGTAAATTTTGGGACATTTTCTTTATACACGTGTTAAACTTTTTACTCTTCACAAATTTTTAATACAAAAATTTATTGAGTGTATCAAATATTTTAAAACAATTTTAAAAATTTATAAATTTAAATAGAAAAAAAATTTAAATTTTAATGAATATTGGTTTTTTTTTTGTTCCTAATTGTCTACTACAAAATTGTAATTATTATTTTTATATATAAAATTCCGATTACAAACTGTTGCTTTAATTATTTCAAAACAAATAAAAAGAGAAATTCAGAGAGAAAAAAAGGAAAAACATCAAAGTGAAAATAAAATGGCATAATTTTCAAAAAAAAAATATCTTTAAACACAAAGACAATAGAAAATTTGTTGAGAAAAGCATCAGGAATATATTAACAAGTACATACTCTTTTTTTTTTGGTGTACCCATGATTCTTGGCTATATGGTAATTTCTAAAATATTTCTATATAGTTCGCTTTTCCATTGTATTTATTTTATATACTTATAAAAATTATAATTTTAGTAACCGAAATGAAATTGAAAAAAATAAAATATTTTATTGCATAACTATAGGATACATTTTACTAATATGTACATCTCTTTGATTTTGATGTGGAAATTCAAGAGATTGACAGCGTAATTATCAATAATTAAATATTAATTAAACTTCAATAATTTACACACTGTACTGGTTTTCTTCCAAACTCTCCCATATATGTACATATGTACCCTTAAAAAAGAAATCTTCAAGTACACCATTATAGTCAATGGCCAAGCAGTCAATGTAAACAAAACAAATACTTAGTAATTATGTGAATTACAGTATATAAAGCAATGTAGAGAACATTTCGTCGGCAATTTCTTCATGCCTCTGTAGCTCAGTTGGTAGAGCGTCCGCCTAGAAAGCGGTAGGTCACTGGTTCGAGTCCAGTTCGAGGAGAAAAATTTTTTAATTAATTTTTCTGCCTTTAACTCGTTCCTTTGATTACGTCATCCATCTGTTCTGCAGTTGCATGAAGAAATTTCCATTAAGTTAAATTATTAAGTGTATGTAATAAGCACATTACTTATTAATTTCGCAACTATGATGTTGTATTAGTAAAATTCATAATATTATAGTTAATGGCCCTTAAGTAAGTTTTAAATCAATTAAATAAATTAAAAAAAGTTGCAACCTTAGCAATTACGAGTATTTCATAAAATTTAAATTTCAATTTGAACTACATATTTATAATAATTTTTTATTTATTATAATTATAACATTTTTTTATTACAGATTCTGATTTTATAATGCAAACAAGAACCACATCAGATACGAAAATTAACTAGAATTTAGTAGTGAAAATTGCAATAAAAAAATTGTTGTATTACTCAAATTCCGAATTGCAATTCATCAGAATACTTTCGACAAATTCAATAGAGATCTGGAGTTATTCGAGCTTTTCCAAAAATTAAAATACCATTCACAATTTAAGTAAATTTATAATACCCACACAATAATGTAATAATAATAATAATAATTGTTATATTATTATACATTCTCTTCTAATGAGATAATGACGATAATGAGAAAAAAAAATTATAATAAGATATTTTTGTTGTTTTCTTTTTTTTTTTGGTCCTGTTATTTTGTTATTGTTGCAAAAAAAAAACAATTTTTTTCACTATAATTACAATTGTATAAAATATTGAAAATGTTTTTCCCTTTTATATTTTATTCTTTCTATAATCCGTTAAGATCTTTCCTGTGCTTTTTGTTACAGGAAGAATAATAAACACAAGAAAAACAAAATAAGAAAAAAGTACTAATAAGAAGAGAAAAAAAAAACCACTCATTTTCCTTTAAATTATTCAAGAGAAAAAAAACAAATATATAATAAAGATAATATTTAAAGTGGAATAATTTCGAACAACTATAAGATATTTAAGAATAAAATGAATATTGTGATCTCGAAATATTCAACAGAATCAAAAAATTAATATATTGTTTGTCCATTGTTTAATTAATGCAGGAAAAATTTACTATACAGTTAGGTAAGTATTGTTGAATAAGAGGTTGTTATAGCTTATATTAAAACTTCATTACGTATTGAAGGTATTAAAAAATTTCTCATTAAGAGAAGTAATACTATACTGAGTATGCTATACCTCAATTTTCATTTGGATGGATCACTGTACAACACAAGTCGAATACAAGCACAATTTCTTTGCATACACTTCATATTACTCAAGTGAAAAATTAAGACCACAAATATTTTCTATATGCTTATTGTAATAATATATTCTCTTCAAATCTATAGAAATTTAATTTAACATGCATTGGCAATTGTTAAAAATTCTTAAAAATTTTATTTAATTTTATTAATTTTGAAAATGTTTTCTGATATTGAATAAAAATTTTATATGAAAAAAATTTTTAATCACAAAAATTAATTTTGTTTATAATACACTTCAATGCTAATTTAAATATTAAATAACTAATTATCTACATGTATATAATATATATGTATATCCGCAATAATATATGGAATGAGATAAAAGGATATTAAATACAAAAAAACTACTATGTATATATTTTTAAGCATATAGGTAAAGGTACACTATATAATATGATTGAACCAATTTACATGAATTAACAAAACAAAAACCAAATAAAAATAATAACAAATTAGAAAAAAAATAAAATAAAAAAAATTCCTTTATACCCTGTACATTTTAAGTATATATATAGTGTATACCCACATTTATACACAACATTATGTATATCCTATCACAACACAAGTCACCATGATATCATTTGTGTATATAATATAGTATATAAGAACTATAACAGCAATTGAGCAACAGAAGAGCAACAGCAGAGAGTATAGTGGCAGGAAATATTTATATGTACTTATAATAAGAAAAACGAAAAAAAAAAATCTTTTCTTATTTTATTTTTTTTTTTTTTTGTTTGTTATTGTTTCAATTATTCCACTTTACTTATATTTTGATACAACTACTCTAATGAGTGCAATTTAAACAAAAAAATTTTTATAATATATATATAAAATATATATGTATATGTACAAGAGTATAAAATAGATTATATAAAAAAATCTATGCACTTATATGTATAAAAATGAATGAAATGAATAAAAAATGAGAAAATAACTCTTAACTTCTACCTATATGTATATTATGTATGAAAACATTTGTTTTTATATTTGTATAATATTTCTTCATATAATTTAACAGGAAGATATTATAAAGGAAAAGATAACAAAAATAAAAGAAATGTCTGTTTTCATCATCATCATCATCTTCTTCTTCTTCTTCTTGTATTTGTTTTTTTTTTATCAACGGAAAATGCACGTATCTATATATAGATACTTTAAATTTCATATTAAATTCGTATCTATATAAAAGAAAATAAGAGTATATAATTACATTATATTCTTTTTATATTCGAATTACATATATTTTTAATGTTTTTATCGTATACGTGTACCTCTATATTTACGGGAAAATAATCACGTATAAATTACAAATAACATAGTGGTACTTCATTCATTTTATATTTTTACGCTCAATTTTTATGTGTTTACAAATGTATACAAATGTATATATTGTATGTATATAATAGATATATAAAATATTTAGGCATAAATCATAGGTACAATATGGTTAAGTACTTTTGAATTCTCTATATATCATTTATATAACATTTTATATGTTATACAGTTGATAACATTTTATAAAAGTAATAAAAAAAAATTTTGAAAAAAAAAAGATCATATTAGGAAAATTATTACTTAAAAAAAAAAAAAATTCCTATTTTCTTACGACGTAAGCAATTTCAGGAAAAAATCTATGTAACGAGATAAAAAAAAAATTATATGAAATTTTTGCTTTTTTACTTTTTTTCTTTTTAATTATTTTTAATAAAATTTTTTTTTGCAAATAAAAAGTACGAACGTATACGCAGGATAACCACTTTAACATTTTTGAGTAATTTATGGAAAATTTTTATATTTACTAATTTTATTTTGAATTGCGAAATTCGAAATTTCATGTGTATAACAGGTTAAAATTTAGGAGGCATTAAGTAAATATTTTATTAGTTCCAATAATAATGGGGGCTCCTGTGTTATTTTTTTTTCTAGTTGCCATGATTGACCAAATAAAAAACTACTTTTAAATAAAAATTTATTAAAATCAATTATTCAATTTAGGATTAAAAATTCAATTTGAAATCAAAATTTAACATTAATATTATTGAAAATTATAGAATTTAAATATTGCCCGAATTATCACATAACATATGGATTTAGCAAACTATTTGGGGCAATAATTTTATATGTGAAAAACTTCTTCGACCCATAGTTGATTAGTTAAGAATATTGTGATTTGAATAGCCAAAACGTAAAATTATTAAAATTCCATAAGATTTTCCAATTAATATGAAGTTTCCTATAACAAATGAGTTGAAATCGTTTTTTTTTTTTTTTGGACCGGATCCCGATTTCAAATCTCGCAATATAATTCCAAAATTTTTTAAAAAAAAACATTCTTGATTATGCAAAGGATTTATTTAATTCAAAGCATGTTTTGGAAAGTGGTATACAAAATTTTGGGCTCTAACGTCTTCAATTTGATCTAAAATAATTAAGGTTTTAATTAAGAAAAATAATA